ACGTGGTTCGCATCCCGGACCCGGTGGCTTAAAACTCATGCCGGGCACGTGTGCGTGCATGCCCAAGATCCTGAGAGGAGAATGGAAGGGAAGGGATTGTGGCGTGGCCATCCCCCCTGGGGGGTGATTTCTCGCTTTCTATCTCTCCGTCTCTCTGTCTGTCAGGCGAGCACACATGCCCTATAGCAAAAACCTCAAAAAAAATAAAAGAAAATCATGGCAGGCATGTGCATGTGTGCCCAAAATCCCAGGAGGAGAATGGAGGAGAAGGGATTATGGCATGGCCATCCCCCTGGTGGGTAATTTTTCATTTTCCTTCTCTGTCTTTCTCTGGCGAAACATGCACCCTATGGCAAAAAAAAAGAAAAACCAAAGAAAAAAGTTCCTATTTATAGTTAGCATATTACAACACTGAACATTTTAAGTAGAAAAATCCTACTAGAATACATGTGTTTAGTCAGGTCTCAGGAGACAAGAATAATATATGAAAATTAAGTGTATTTTTACATACTAGCAGTAAACAACTGGAAAACCTTCAATATAATTCCATTTACGATAGCACCAAAAAACAAAATACTTAGGAATGAATTTAACAAAAGATGCAAGATCTATGTACTGCTGAGAGAAATTACATACCACCTAAGTAAACGGAGAAAGACATGTTTTTGGATTGAAATAGTCATATGATTAGATTTCAATGACCTCCAAAGATGATCTATACATTCCATGCAATCCCAATCATGGACCTATTATAATTTTTTTTTTTTTTTGGACAGGTTTTTTCGTTATAGGGTACGTGCACTCGCCAGACAGACAGAGAGAGACAGAGAGACAGAAAGCAAGAAATCACCCCCCAGGGGGGATGGTCACGCTGCAATCCCTTCTCCTCCATTGTCCTCTCGGGATCTTGGGCACGCGTGCACACGCGCCCGGCGTGAGTTTTAAGCCACCAGGTCCAGGACGTGAACTGCAGTCGACTACGTGGGAGTCCAGCGACATAGCCATTACGCTAACTGCTGGTTCCCATGGACCTATTATAATTTTTGAAGAAGCTGAGAAACTGATTCTAAAATGGATATGGAAATATAAAGGAATTACAATAGCCAAAATCATCCTGAAAAATAACCAAACAGGAAGACTTGCAATACTGCCTGGTGGTAGAATTTTCTGTAGAGATACATGATCAAGGCAGATGGTGTTGGCAGAATGATAGACTAAGAGACTAATGGAATAGACTAAAGATTCCAGAAACAGACCTTTGTTCATGTTGTCAACTGATTTTTCATAAAGGCACCAAAGATAGTCAACAAAGAAAGAAAATCTATTTCAGTAAATGGTGTGAGAACAACTGAATATCCATATGGGAAAGGGGTAAAAAAAAAGGTCTTGATTCCTCAACTCTAACCATATATAAAAATTCACTTGACATGAGTCACAGTCCTAATAGTGAAAGCTTCTAGAATATAGGAAAACCTAGGGGTGGGCAAAGATTTCTTAGAATGGATATCTTAGAATGGTGAGGATGTGCAGCAACTATAAATCTAATACTATGCTGGTGGAGATGTAAAATGGTATAATACCATGGAAGCAGGTGTAGCAGTTTTTTATAAAGTTGAACATTTACCTTCCCTTTCATCCAGCTATCGCAACCCTCAGTAATTATCCAAGAACAATGAAAACTTACACCTACAGAAACGCTTGAACTAGAAGTATTCACTGAAGTTTAGTTTACAATAGCCAAAAACTAAAAACAACCAAAATGTCCACCAACAAGGCAATGGCAAAACTAATTATGAATTATGAGACAGGTATTAAATGGAATATTCAGCCATAAAAAATTAAATTATTATCACATACAACAATATGGACCTCACAGACATTATGTTGAACCAAAGCCAGATACAAGAGTGTATATATACCATATAATTCCGTTCATATAAAGTAAGTCCTAGAACTAGTAAAATTAACCTAGGGTTTTAAAAAAATTAGAATGGCATTTGCCTGGAGTAGACAGGAAACAATGACTGACATGACAGGAGGGAATGAGAAATGGGATTATTCTATGAGGAAACTTCCAAAAGACCACGGAAAGTGAAATTAAGTAGGAATTTATTTTAGTGCAAAAAACTTTTGTAATCCATGCATACATAGTTCTTTCATACTATGCATTTGCCATAAAGACCCCTTGTTTATTGAGATTGGGTTGTTTTACATGGGTATACATGAGTGCATTTTGGGCATTTCAATATCCACAAATTTTACCAAACCAATTTTAAAAAATAATACACCACTCAAGTGGAGGGATGAGGAATGGCTAAAAATATATGTAATGATGTTGGAGACCACCCTGTGTGACGATGGCCCAGATCTGCTAGAAAACACCTCGAGTGACCTGGCACACTGGGTCCCAAGTACAGGAGACAGTAACCTGTTTCCCAGAGAAGCAAGTCACGTTCCAGTGGGTTAATGTGCCCTCTGTTCTGTATAATAGCTCTTAGGCGGTATGCTCTGTCCAATAAATCTTTAACTTCCTTCTTAAAGATATCCTTACTTTAGGGAAATCCTGCTGTTTATACATTCATCCTTTCCTATCCACTGTACATTTACAGAATTTTCCATCATAAATATGTATGGTAAAACTTGCTGAGAAAAGGTCATCTATTTAAAATATCCTATTATTTGTTATCTGACCTTCCACTCAATAAATATAGAGCACAGGAGAAGGCTGCATTAGAGTGCTCTCCAATCCTCAGCTCGTCCTCCATGCTAAATTTATTGAAAGATGTGGAGTCTTTCAATACACGCATCACTCTGTGTCTCCTTTGTCCTGGGCATAACAAGAATGGCAGAACATTAAGTGTTAAAGCAAGGTGATGGGGGACCCACAGGTGGCCTGGTGGTTGGGGCACTGGACTCCTACAAGGCTTACTGTGGTTTAAGTCCCAGATCTGGTGGCTTGCATTCTCACTTTCCCTTTCTCTCTCTGTCAGATCAAATTAAAATAACTAAATAATTTTTTTTAAAAAAAGTAAGGTGATAGGTCTGGGTGGCAGGCAGGAATTATTATATTACTGAGGTTTTGTTTTAATTTACATAATGAAACGCAAAAACAAAACAAAACTTAAAGGTTTTAGTTGAGCACTACTTAAATAAGTCTAAGTATTCTGTAGTTCTCCATACCACCACCAAAAAAAGTTACTGTAATTTTCTGTAGAATTTTTTAAAGAATGATTTATTTCATTTATTCATTCTTTTTTTTTTTTTTTTTTAATTTGACCAGAAAGAGAGACAGATAGAGAGAGAGAGGAAATGAGAAAGCAAGCTACCAGGTCTGGTACTTGAACCATGGTCAGCCATGTGAGAATGCCCAGCATCTTAACCACCACACCACCTGCTGGCCCCCAATTTTCTGTAGAATTTAACAGAGGTGTAGTCATTCTACGAGTGCAGTGAATGTTCTTGCCTATACTCTATGTCCAGGTTACAACAAGGAAAATAGGGAGAATGACTTGCTATTACATACACTATGAAGAACAGGAAATTTATTAGAAACACAGACTCTCAAGAATTTAATAGCTTGTTTTTAATATCTGAAACACTATCACTATTGCGTTTGCTCTGCTGAAGCATAAACAGAAAGAATGAGTGGAAGTTTCAGGAAGAGTTTTCAGCTCCATAAAAAGAACTTTAACAACCATCATCTCCACAAAGCAAAAGAGCTGCTTCTCGGAGCTAAAAATTTCCCCACCCACGGAGATGTTCAGACATAAGTTGGAGATTTGTACTCTGGCACCAACCAGCAGAAGAAAACAGCTACTACGTTCCTTCTAGTACAGAGATTTTGCATTTGTTTGAACTACTTTCTCTTATTTTAATCCAGGTTCAAAGAGAGAAGAACAGGGCTTCATGAACATCTCAAAAAAAATAATAAATTCGGCCAAAATGCTGTGTCATGATAGAAGCCGTAATACAGCTACAAACCTCGAACTTACTATAATATTTTGGCTCACATACTTATGAACAGAATGCATGTAACATTTTTAGAAATTACCACAAAATGAGCAGCTTTAGATTTTTAGGCTTAACTGAAAATTTCGAGGTAAATCTTTCTTTATAATGTTGTAAGACAAATTACGAAAACAATAACAACATGCAACACTGCTCCCAGGTATTGTTCTCTCCTTTCCTTGAAGAATCCTGGGCCCACCTCTAAGTAACAAACTGTATCCCCAAGAAACCTTACAATTTAATGACAAATGTAGGATACACTTGAAAAAATAGGCCATTATCACATAGCAGTGTTTAATTAAATGCCAAAACAGAGTACAGATAAGACCTACAGTGAAATCCAGAGAACATGGTGGGGGTGGGGGGGTTCAGCAGACTGCAGAGAGGTTAGGGGATCTGAAGTGGGACTGGAAGAATTTACACTGGGAGAAAAACCGGATGGGAAGGAGGCAGGCATTTCCAGAAGAGCGGAACAAGACAAGGCCAGCAAACTGATGAAACAACTTGAAAATAAACCTGGATTTTGTCTCCAATGAACCCCTAACATCCCTCCAACGCTTTTGGCTCTCCCATCACTTTTCTTTCCAAATCTTTAGGTTCCCAAAATGTGGTCCTTGGACAAGCAGTAGCCCCAAACATTTGAGAACTTGAATCGTCAATTCCGGGGACCCATCCCAGACCTACTGAGTCAAAAAGCGGAGGGGAGGACATCGATGTGTGTTTTAAGAAGTGCTTCGGACGATTCTGATGCACGCTCAAGTTTGAAAACCACTGCTCCCGAGCTGCCTGCTGAGCCCAACCTCCGCACTGGGAGTGATGTTCTGAGCGCCTAACTCCGCCACTGCGCAGGGTGCGGAGCTGACAGCGGTCCCAGCCCAGTAGGAGTTCGCTCTCTGTCCCCATCGCGGTGTCCTCCCAATCGCTCCCCTCTCTGCCACCCCTGCGGTCCTACTTCACTCATGCAGGGCCCTCCCGCCCCGGCGCAGCCCTACCTCGGTGTCAGAGGGGACGTGGTGCCGGCAGGGAGGGGAACTGCCCAACGAGACAGGAATAGACGTGGCGCTTGCCCGGAGCCCTCCCAACAGGAGGATAACGCCTCGAACCCACAGAGTTCCGCTCCAGCGCCACCGGCTCCCGCCCCGGCCCTGA